CTGACAAGGATGAAGCCTGGATTTCAACCGGCAACCCTACAGGGCAAACTCCTAACCTCTAAGCCATAATAGCTCCAAAGCTTTCCATCATACAGTGGGCAATGATGAAACGGTTTTGGTTTAAAGATCTAAGCAAGGGCACCTTAAAAACCTCAAATATGCAAGAATTCTGCAGATGTGTGCATAATAAGAACTGCCCAAGGGTGCACTGTTTCATTCCCAGAAAGGAAGAATAAGGTTGATACCTCTTAGAGAGGAAACCTGAAAATCGGGATTGGGAAGCATTTCACATGCTATCTTTCTCAGTTGCAGAAGGTGTTCTAGGTTATTGAAAACAACAGCATGTCCTCTCCCAGTGTATCCCAAGTTCAAAGTTATTTCTCAATAGACCGCGTGTTCTAATGGCAGTGGCTCCTTCAGTTCAGAGACAGAAGAGGAGCCATCTTCAGTAATTTTAAATGTACTGTAACAGAAATAATCACTCAAACGAGAGAGTACAGTATCTGTTTATTCTAACTGAGATGTAGTTGACAGAACTAACTTCGAACACACGTGTAAATATGGACTGTTTCCATCTGCTCTGGGTTGACAGAAGCAAGGACAATGGAAAAATGAGTGGAGGGGGTCTGTGTCGCGTTACGGTGTTTGTAGGACCCAAAATGCAGAACCCAGGATGACACGAGGCACGAGATGATGTAAAGTAAAATCCTTTATTTTTGAAGGACAAAATGAAGATTATATCCAGGGCAGGGAGCCAAAGTCCAAAAATGTACAAAGTCCAAAATAAACTAGAGATCCAACTGAGACACGAGAAACACTAGCGACTAGGAACAAGAGACTGACAGAATTACCACAATGGACCGATACCAAACAGAGATAAGACAGGGCTTAAATACACAGGGAGAACAAGTAAGGAAACAGGAAGCAGGTGTGTGGAGTGAGGGCTGGAGGGAAGGCAGGTGACACAAATGATCTAAATGGGGGAAACAGAACCAATGGAGTGCAGACAAACCTAAACCAAAAACTAAACCTAAGACTGAGGGAGGACTCACACAAACATATACACATACAAACACTGAGCAGGGGAATGGCCACACACACACCGAGCTGGGGACAAAGAGGCTGGAGCTACAGAACTAGAAGGAAGACCTGGAGGGCTGGGGATGAATGAATGACACAGGACCTGGGAGGAATGGACTTTAAAAGGGCTACAAACATAAGACACATAATTGCGATGCAGACAAAGGACACATGAGGGCGCTATGAGACACAGAAGGGAATCTAGAGAGGATGGAGAAACACCAAGAGGCACATGAAGGAATGGGCAGACGCAGACCATGACAGTCTGGCTTTGGTTGTGATCTAGAGATGGTGCAACTCTGGGCATCGATCAGAGACACTTTTCATAAAGAAACTGAGCTCTAGAGTTAGGTTTGGATCACCAACTATATTCTTGTAGGGGTATATCGTTACTCTGGCCAGCAGTTCAGCACCAGGTGGAAAAAGACATCCAGGGAGAGAGGCTGTAGCATGCCCGTTACCCCAGACACAAAAGTTAGAGTGCTGTTTGAAAACCTGACTGGTAATTTAATCTAGAAGCTACAAGCAGCTCACCAAAGGAATTGGTAGTGCGAGTAGCTCCAGCGGGCCTAGTAAAAGGAAAGGGATGCCTTACGTGTACCGGGCGTTGCTGTGAGTGTCCAGATTATTTTACTAGGGCGTGAACAAGGATGAGTATGGGAGGAGCTCGAGGAGAGACGAGAGAATGTCAGTGACTGAATATCTGATCAGTGAGTGGTGGACGCTACAGGGGAGGTGATGAGATAGCAGGTGTGTCTGCAGCAAAATGAGGCCACGCCTACCTGACCTAGACAGACAGTAGCCAAAGCAAAAATGATTTGGCTCTGCATGTCAGTCAAGCCACAGTCCCTTGGAGTATCAACAGGTCTTCCATTGGCCCGGTCAGTATTGTGTTAGTCAACCAAAGCACTTTATTGGTTTGGTGGGTCAACCACAGTGCTCCATCAGTTTGGTGGGTGGGATATAGGTACTTAAGTCCTTTTTTTTTTGGAAAAACAATGTATCTACATCTTTGTTGACAGTGTATGACAGACCGCCCCGTTGACTGACATTGATCATGTTGTTCGTTATCCAATAGCAAGCGGAGACAGTTTGAAAGACAACAGTAGATTTCTTTTTTTTTTTTTTTTTACAACAGTAGATTTTGCCCCATAACTAAGTTGTGTCTTTGGGTCATGGCCAGACTATATATTCACATATAAGGAAGGTTTGCAAGGCTACTCCAACCAATTTCCTTCAGATTCTCCAATCTTTTTGGCTAGACAGATACAATGACCATATAATTTTGCAACTCTGCAAACAAATATGTCATGTTTAGGTGAATGCAGTCTTGTGAATAGACTGTACCTAAATGCTGTCTCAGGTTGGGTAAAGCATGCAGATGAGGGATCTCACTGAAGGAGCATTTAAAGTAATGGTACACTGAATCGCTATCAGAGGTGATCTGAAGTCGGCATTGGTGTTTCTCTTACAACACTGGTGGAATCCCATTGACAGAGTCAACAGTTCATCCATGGATGCACAAACAGTACATTTCACAGTGAGTGTTGGTTTGGGACCCATATGCAGGTGAGTAAAGCTCAGAGGCAGCAAATACCTTAATACATTTATTGTAGGGACTTGGAGGTGTAGAAACAGGAACCGAAGTTGACATGGGAAGACGTAAGACAAGGTTAACAGATGAATCGACAAAAGACGCAGGACTGACAGGGCTTAAATACACAGGAGCAGGTGATCAGGTTAACAAGAGGCATGTGCAACCAATAAACACAACAAGGAGAGACAAGATGCAACCAAGGCTGGGAAGCAGAACGTGACAATACCCCCCCTCTCAAGGGCGGCTCCAGACACCCAACAAGGGATAAAAACACAACACATGTTTAGCTCAAGAACATCCAAGACCTGGCATGAAAAAAATAAGTTCATAGTCACTGAAGCCAAAACCACAGAGGCAGGGACATAACACAAGATGCGGGAGCAAGACGAGGACCTCCGCTGACCAGCTGCAGATCTGGGAGTAACAGGGAAGCTGGGACCCCTCGATTAGGTGGCACAGCACGGGCCTCTATGTAGGCGGCACAGCTGGGGCCTCTGTCAAAGGTGGCCGGAGCTTTACATCCACCAGGAGCAGCGCAGGAAAGACCACTAGGAGCTGTTGGACCCAACTCCTGGAAACCCAACCCACCAGAGGAAAGGAGGTAGCATCAGGAGAGGGTGCTCTGCGTTGGTGGTGCAGATCTGAAGGTGGAGGCGGGGTGTGGGACCCTGGAAGCTGCAGCATGAAATCCTTCAGACCCACCAGGGAAGAAGAGGAGGCCTCAGGAGGGAGCTCACCGAGAACACAGACCAGGAGATGCAGAACCCTTGATACCTGACTCACCAGGGGCAGCGAGGTGGCATCAGGTGAAGCTGTAAACACTGGCAGTGCTGACCAGGACAGGGCAACAAGGAGAGATACCTGGCCGACCACCCGGGTAACAAATGGTGTGCTGACAAAAGGCTGCGAAGCTCTTCGACCTGGAGCACCAGGATGTCCCAGGCAGAGCAACTCACTGCTGGATGCTCTGTGGTCGGTTCCAGGGGCGGATTTAGGACTGAAGAAGATCTGAGGCTTACACACACACACACACACACACACACACACACACACACACACACACACGCACGCACAAGCACACGTGACACGCACTAGTCAACATCATATATACATTTGTCTTGTACAACATCATTTTTAATCTGAAGCTACATATTAAGCATATTCAGGGCAGAGTATTGTTCCTGTTAGTGTTTAGTGTGAGATGATAGTAAATATTCCCGCGTTCTTTCTCCAACAACTTTACCTGATAAGCTAACTTTAGGCAAACCAGCAGCACAACAAATATTTTCAAATAAGACTCACAAACCTGAGTCAACACCAGTCTCATCAAAGCTGGGTTTCTGTCGTTGTACTTTTTGTCTAAAAAACGTCCTGATGTCCATCTTCACTCATGCGTTTCAGGCAGAGACTGCAGACGAAGCCGGCTGCTGAAGGGCTTCTTCTTCAGTGGTGGAGGCTCAGGCAGGCTGTATACAAACTACTGCCAGCTGCTCCCTCTCTGTTGGACTTTGGTACTGCATGTTACTTCCACGTTTTAGATCCGGGGCTTTTCATAAAACATTCGGGGCTCGAGCCCAAGTAGCCGGGCCTAACCCCGCCCCTGGTCGGTTCGTTCTTCCATGGTGAGGTTTGGTTTGGGACCCATATGCAGGTGAGTAAAGCTCAGAGGCAGCAACTACCTTAATCCATTTATTGTAGGGACTTGGCGGTGTTGAAACAGGAGCCGAAGCACGTTGACACGAGAAGACGTAAAACGAGGTTAACAGCCGAACCGACAAAAGACACCGGACTGACAGGTCTAAAATACACAGGAGCATGTGATCAGGTTAACAAGAGGCATGTGCAACCAATAAACACAACAAGGAGAGACAAGAGGCAACCAATGCTAGGAAGCAGAATGTGACAGTACATCTATAAGGTATAAGTATTACCTCAATTATTATACAAAACTCTGATGTCTGGTCTAGATTTGCCATCAATATTAATAATAATAATGATAATAATCATGTTTGTTAATGTTACATAAAAATAAATTTACTAAAGTGACTTCCTTTAAAATAACTAAACCAAATCTATACGTATAAAATGTAATTTTATCTGTAATACCGCAAAATGTCAGATCTTTTTGATCACTCAAAAAATTAGAACACCCCCCACCCCGACAACTGTTAACACCAGGTATAAAACATACAGTACACAGTAAAGCCATTTATTTACATGAAAGCAATGCAAAGCTTTGGATCAGATACACATGTATGACTGATGGAGGACTACAATTCATGTCTGGTATTGCTATGGAAAATCACACATACAGTATTAATAAAGTAAAATAAAAATGTATTTTCTACTTTGTTCTTAAAATGGTTTGTGTTCCTTTCCTCATCATATTCTTCTTTGTATTTCTCTCCGGTTTCAGTAACATGATGTAACATTTTGGTATGAAGATACAAATGAGTAAACTAAAACTAGAAGCTAGTATCGCAAAGATTTCAACAGCGACGCTCAATTTTCCAGGAGAGCTGACATAGGCTGGGATGAAAGTGATCCATACAGTACAGAATATCAACATGCTGAAGGTGATGAATTTAGCTTCGTTGAAGTTATCAGGCAGTTTACGTGCTAGAAAAGCAAAAACGAAACACAAAATAGCCAGAAGTCCAATGTACCCGAGCACCGACCAGAAGCCCACAGCTGAGCCCACAGAACACTCCAAGATGATTTTATCTTTGAACTCCTTAAGGTTTTGTGATGGAAAAGGAGGAGAAATGGTCAACCAGAGGATACATATGATCACTTGTATCAGAGTGAAGCCCAGAACATTGAGTCTCTGTTGTGTAGGCCCAAACACTTTCCTGATATGGCTCCCAGGAAGTGTAGCTTTAAAGGCCATTAGGACCACCATGGTTTTCCCCAGAACACAGGAGATGCAGAGGACGAAGGTGATGCCAAAAGCTGTGTGACGAAGCATGCAGGACCACTCTGATGGACGTCCGATGAAGGTCAGAGAGCAGAGGAAACACAGAGTCAAGGAGAAGAGCAGCAGGAAGCTCAGCTCGGAGTTGTTTGCTCTGACTAGAGGAGTGTTTCTGTATCTGAAGAAAATGAAAGCTACAGCAGCAGTCAGACATGTTCCAAACAACGACGTTGTGGTGAGGAGTATTCCCATAATTTCCTCATATGACAGAAACTCTGCTTCTTTTTTCACACAAGCATCTCGTCTCTCATTCGACCAGGATTCAGGTGGACATCTCAGACAGGTGGTAGAATCTGAAAGTTCATGAGGAACTTTGGTTTCTTGCTCTTTGGTGCAGTATTCTAACTACATAATAACAATATTAATACTTAGGAAATACATTTTTTGAAAGACGCTATTTTTGTAAGGACGGATGCACCTCCATTGTAAGCTTGAAATAAAAAAAAATAAATTCAGGGTTTTTCCTTTTGTGGTTGCTACACATTGTCAGGCCGCAGTCTTTTACTGGAAAATTAACAGTGTTGCTTTGTTTTTTGTCTAATATGACCATTTAACAGTGGTATTTTGTGGAACTCTGGCAAATTGCATGCTGATAGAATGTCATGTAAGAAATGTTAAACATTAATTCTCAAAAGTAAGTTTAACAAACTCATTATGTAGGATTTTGGGGGATTTGCCAGATTTAGTCTGAGATGTGCAGCTTTGCATACGACAACATAAAGAGCAGAGTCAAATTTCTACCTGAAAGTCACTGCTGCTAATAGAAAATAGTGCTTGCCATATATTTTGCTGCAAAAATGCATAAACAACTAACTAACGGTCCAAGTTGATCTTACCAATGCACTCGGTTGAGCATGGGAGTGAAAAAGAAAGGCACTGTGAAAATACCCTAACCTGTAATGTTGCTCATTTCTCCCTCTGCACATCTCATACAGTCATAGCAGCAAACTGGTTTTCCTCTCTGCAGAACTTTATGGGTTCCTGGGAGACACTTCTCGCTGCAAACTGATACAGGAACCTGCATGAAGGAAACAGACAGGCTTGTTTTAGTGCAATAAAACAAAATATCATGAATATACAAAAACGTTGACTTTAAATGGGAGGTGATATTCCGATTAATGAAACTATTTACGGAATTAGATTTCACCTGTTTGGAATTCTGTGCCCAAATAAAAGACACATTTTGAAATTTCAGCTCATTGCCGGCAGGTAAAGATGCATCATAAAGACCAACATTTACAAAGTCCACAGAGCCATTTTCTTTAGGATGCCAGTTGATAATCTGGTACTTTGCTGGTGGATCGCCATTTTCATTCAAATACATTTCATCTCCTTCCCTTGTCTTAAAGTGTGTCTTTCGAATTTGCTGCAGAATCTAAACATATTTGTACATTTTATTTGTGCATAAATTATGAAAATGGTTTGAAAAGGTAACAGATTAGAATATTTGTGTATATTTTCAGTGCATTTTTTTTCATGTGCATTTTAGTTGGTCAAGGTTAAGCTCACCGTTAATGGATCTAGCGTGACGCTGGTGCTGCATGTTTTATTACATCTGAGGATATCGTGCAGAGCGTGGGCCACTGCATACACTCCTTTATAGACGTTATTAAATATGGGCATCAGAGACATGTCAGTGAAGCCGTTTTCCACTCCAGTCAGATCCTCATGTCCGGTACATTCTCTCTGGATCTTTTCTGATTGGGATTGTTTAAAATTACAGCTGAATAAAGCCTCCCATAACTCTTTAAACAGGCCATTGTTTGATGAATTCAATGGCCTTACATTCAGCATGAAATGTCGGAGCCCACTGACTTGTGCTTTGGGAATGGAAAAGCCTATGGCTCCATCCAGGATGTGATGTTTATCCAGAGCTGCAATTTGAGAATCAAAGATCCAAGACTCACTACCAATCCACTGATACCCAATCAAGTTTTGAAAAGCCGATTCACGCATGAGCACTTCCATGTCTCTGTGAGAGAGAAAAGCAACAATCGTTTTTGAAGTTGAAGCTTTGATGATATCAATAATCTTTTGTATTTTTTCTGTTGGGTCTGTCCTGAAGAAAGCAACAGAATATTCCAGACAGATGCCGAGCTGCTGAGCTGTTTCTGTGAACGTTGCCATGCCGTTGTTGCCATAATCATCGTTGGTTCTGATGGCTCCAACCCAAGTCCAACCGAAATGTTTAACTAAGTGGGCCAGAGCTCTGCTCTGATAGTAGTCACTGGGTATGGTTCTTGAAAAGGACGGGTATTTAGATTTATCACTGAGACAAGCACATGTGGCAAAGTGGCTGATCTGAAAACAAATAAAATGTAAAAGATTGTAAAAAAAATTTAATTAAAAAATACATTTACATCTGCCTCACGAGTGAAATTTAACTTTCTCAGTAGTGTGTTTTTGTTTTTACGAACCAGTGGGATATGAAATGGTCCAATAGCAGTAGCTACTGCTGTACTGGGAGAGGAAGAGCTTTCTCCCACTATAGCCTGCACTTGGACAGGTCTGGTGCATGCTTCATCTGACAATGAAGGCACGTTGTCATTACCATTGATCAAAGCAAGTGCTACTTTTATGCTTTTGACAACAGAACCACAAGTATCATAAACATGATATCCCAGAGAAACACCAGGAAGTAACTCTGTGCTGTTGTTAATCTCCTCAATGGCGTAAAGCATAGCCTGGGCAAACTGGAACTCTCTGAAATTCAAACTTGATTCAGAGAAAGATGAATTGTTAACAGCATAAAGTGTCCTTTTATGAAAAATATGCATTCACTTGTTTCATTTTTATAATATGTTGCTATGATCTATTTTACCTGATGCATTCCAGAGGCGGGGGTTTATGTGTGTAAGGATTCTGTTGGTTCCTCCAGCTGCTGTGAAAATAGAAGATTCCCCCCAACATGATGTCTCCATCCTTAGACAGCTGAGGGATCTCAGGTTCTCCTCTCCGTCTGCACAATGACTCCTCAGACTGGGAGAAGGACACCAACAACAGCAGCTGTAACAGTACACAACCCTGCTCTGGCCACCTCTGTGGAGACATTGTTACGTGTAAAATCTCAAAGCCACTCATCTGCAGCTCATGAACAATCTTCTAAAATACAAACTTGAACTGATATTTATTATTTCTGGATCTGCTCATCGTTTGTCTCTGTGGGAAAATGAGGTGGAGCACCAGGAGGAGGGCTGTGGTGACAATGAAGATAATAGCTTTTTTTTTTTTTTACATAATTTTTGTGTTTTTTGCATTAGATTTTCTAAATGAAAGGCAATCATCTTCAGAATTTCAAAACCTAATTTTTTTTTCTCTTACTGATCAATTATAAAATGAATAAATATATAATTAGCATTTATTAATAACAAGCATGGACATGCTGCATTTTTGACAAAACATTATTTTACGGACACTAATGAAGCATTTATTAAAAATAAACATTTCATATCACAATTGTGCAATAATGCAGTTTAACTAATATTCTAACAAAGATGAATAATAAAGTGAGCTTTAGATACCAAATCATTTCACAGCAATGGTTACTTTTACATGTTTTTATTTTATTGTGGTGAGTACATATACGATTATAATCACATCCCAGTTATTGATGTACTTACCTTTGATGGGATGTTAAAGTTCTGACAAGATGGACAGCTGAAGCCGGGCGTACACTGTGCGACTTTTTCACTTTTTTTGAGCCGATTATCTACTCGTGCGAGAATCCACAAGATCAGGGCGAGTTTTGCGCTGAGCGTTGTGTAGTGTACAGGGGGTTACGAGAGGCGATTAACACCACGTGACCAGCTGCCGATCAGCAATCGTGAGCTTGCACGGACTTCTGGCGTGTTTGATATTTTGCTCGTCCCTCGTGAGGGTATCACACTGTTGAAGCGGCGCTGCGAGCGGCTGCGACCCAAAAAGTATCAGAACCGCTCACGGCGCATGCGCAATCCTGCATCAACACCGCTCGCCCGCTATTTCCCTAATAACACACGCTGTTCGTTTTTGTTTCTACACGTTTTTTTACTCACAAAGATTGTCAAGAAAGTGTGTTTGTCGTGTTCATGTCAAATTAAACTGATCACAAAACAGATTTACTTTCTTTATTTCGTTTTCCTCATCCAACCCCCATAAATCCCTGTGTGTCCCCCTGCAGCACTCCCGAAGGACAACAGGCAAGACAAAAAAGACTGACGTGTTGTGTAAAAACTTCTATTTTTAGCATAATTTTAGGTCCGACGTGTTGCTACCAGACGTACAGAGTGAGCAGTCGGGTCACATCCGAGAACTGGGTCGTGCAGTGTGAGCACATGACTCGTGAGATCTGCCCTGCGAGGAAATCGTACAGTTGAGCTGAAGCGGAGTGCTACGAGTGAAAAAGTCGCGCAGTGTCCGCCCAGCTTTAGTATGTGTGCAAAGAAACTCATGTATAACCATTATGTTTTATTCTTAGAGGTCAAACGCTTCTACTGCTGTTGAGTCTCATTATTTTGGAAAATATTTTAAAACAAGGTTCTCCACTCTTACTCGTCCCATAACAAGCTCAGTATATTTGCACTTTCGAATATGAATCTTGTTTGAATTGAACAAATAAAGGGAAAAAAATTACATAGTTATCTAAATAATGTGAGGTGCAGCATAGTATTGAGGATAAAGTATGTAAGCTACAGAGCGTGGTTCCCAAAGAGTCATTTATCGGATTTTAAAACAAATTTCTGTCTTCAATAAGATTTTGCCACCCCCTTTCCCATCATGTTCTTTTTAGTGTTTCTTTCTGGTCTCACTAACACGATGTAACATTTTGGGATGAAGATACAAATGAGCAAACCAAAGCTAGAAGCTAGAATAGCAAATATTTCTACAGCGACACTAAACTTTCCAGGAGAGCTGACATAGGCTGGGATGAAAGTGATCCACACGGCACAGAATATCAACATGCTGAAGGTGATGAATTTAGCTTCGTTGAAGCTATCGGGCAGTTTTCGAGCCAGAAAAGCAAAAATAAAACACAACATGGCCAACAGTCCAATGTACCCAAGAACAGACCAGAACCCAACAGCTGAGCCCAGAGAACACTCCAAGATGATTTTATCTTTGAACTCCTTGAAGTTCTGAGATGGGAACGGAGGAGAAATGGTCAACCAGAGGACACATATGATCACTTGTATCAGAGTGAAGCCCAGAACACTGAGTCTCTGCTGTGTAGGCCCGAACAGTTTCATCACATTTCTCCCTGGAAGAGTGGCCCTAAAAGCCATCAGGACCACCATGGTTTTGCCCAGAACACAAGACAGACAGAGGACGAAGGTGATGCCAAAAGCTGTGTGACGAAGCACGCAGGACCACTCTGACGGCTGGCCGATGAAGGTCAGAGAGCAGAGGAAACACATGGACAGTGAGAAGAGCAGCAGGAAGCTCAGCTCAGAGTTGTTTGCTCTGACCAGAGGAGTTTTCCTGTGCCTGAAGAAAATAAAAGCTACTGCAGCCGTCAGAGACGTCCCAAATAAAGCTGCAGCAGTCAGGAGCATTCCCATAATGTCTTCGTATGACAGAAAAACGATTTCCTTTGTTACACAGGCATCTCTTCTGTCATTTGACCAGGATTCTGTGGGGCATCTCACACAGGTGATGGAATCTGTACATTGTTATATTAAAAGCACATATTAGACTTTATTAGACTTAATGAATAAGACTGGCCATCTTCTGCATGCTCCTGATTCACAAGATTAACTTAATCGCTCTCTTTGCCGATGTTTCTAAATACATCAAGATCAAACAGGATTTTCAACTTAAGTGACTTTAGACATAAAGAGGTGCTTCACTCATATTTTAAAATATTTGCAGTGGTCTCTAGTAGGAATCAATGCAGTTTAAGTGGTTGTAGGGGTAAAAAAGCTCTGGTGCACCTGTTTCAAGAAGCAGAAGCTTGTCAGATCAGAGGAGTTTCAGACGTCAGGATTTGTCTTATTTCCTGATATTTGGACATCTCGCCTTTGACTGGCTAACAGCAACATGACTCTACTGACTTGCTACGTTGATGTTTTATCTCCACAAAGAACACAAGCCTGGAGGAGTTCTGCCATGTTGTGGAGTTGCTAATGCTAACAGTTAGCTTCTGCTAGTAAAGCTGTTCTCTGCTGTTTCCTGGATGCTAAATCAACAAAAGCCTTCCCCGTCGTGAGCCAGTTTCCTCATCTATTTTCTATCAGCAGCTAATGCAGGAGATGGGTGTAGACTATTGTTACATTCAGCCTGCATGAAAAACTCAGAGTGACCGATTATAATCAGACATAATGAGTAAAAATGATTTTCAGTGAAGGACCTCTAAAATTGTCTGAATGACAAGACAGTGTTGCACCTTTTTGTTTTTGCTTTGTTTTTTTTTTTTTTTTGCTTTTTTTATTTTGTTAATCAATTGATGGATATTTATAGCTTTTCTACTTATTTTTATCAATGTATTTTTTTTGTTTCCCGGTATTTTATGATTTCAAACCCTAATGGTGATAGCTAAAAGTTGATGTCACCTAAACAGGTGATGTGTCTGGTAATTTATCACATAATGATGATGTCTACTTTTGGTTCCAAACCTTTATATTATAATATTTTTGCTCTAATACAAACCAGCAGTTTCCTCAGATTATGAAATGATCAGGACAAGTTTAGTTTGTCACGCAGGATTATTTTACTACTTGAATTAAATCATGCCAAACCTGAAGAAGCCGGCAGTTGTCGGCGAAACCGTAGCTACAAACAGGTAAACAAAACTGTTTCTGTGTTTAAAAAAGAACGAAAGCATGGATTTACAAAGACACAGCAAGAACACACCTAAGATGCCAAACCTGTTATGTTGCTCATTTCTCCTTCTGCACATCTTAAGCAGTCATGACAACAAACAGGTTTTCCCTTCTGCAGAACCTTCCGTGTTCCTGGAGGACACTTCTCACTGCAAACTGAAAGAGGAACCTGTATGATTAATTTCAGAAACATTTGCATTTAGTTGATTTAGTAAAAAAAAAAAAGCACTTTTACTAAACACTGAAACTCCGGTTTCACCTGCTTTGAACTCCGTGTCCAAATGAAGGCCTTGTTCAGTAGAATCAGCTGCTTGCCTGCAGGTAACGATGCATCATAAAGACCAACCGAGACAAAATCCACTGAGCCAGTTTTTCTTGGCTGCCAGTTGATAATCTCATATTTTGCAGCTGGATCTCCATTTTCATTGAAGTAAACATCTTCTCCTTCTTTTGTTTTAAAGCGAACATTTTTAATATGCTGCAAAATCTTGATTGAAATGTTATGAGATTAATTTTTGTGCTAAATGATTAAAACTGCTTTTGTATTTTATGTATTGTCCATTCAAACTTTAACCTACATTATATGTTAAAGGAACTTCCTAATTTCAGTGTTGATCTCACCGTTGATGGCTCTAGATGCACGCTGGTGTTGCATGTTTCATTACATCTGAGGATATTGTGCAGAGCGTGGGCCGCTGCGTACACTCCTTTATAGACGTTATTAAATATGGGCATCAGTGACATGTCAGTGAAGCTGTTTTCCACTCCATTCAGATCCTCGTGTCCAGTACATTCTCTCTGAATCTCTGATTGTGACTGATTGAACTTGCAGCTGAATAAAGCCTCCCAGAACTCTGTGAATAAATTATTATTATTTGATGAATTAAGTTTCTTCACATCCAGCATGAACTCCTTAAGCCTGTTGACTTTTGCTTGTGGGATGGAAAGACCTATGGCTCCATCCAGGATGTGGTTCTTATCTATAGCTGCAACATGAGAATCAGAGATCCAGCCCTCACTGCCGACCCACTGGTACCCGGTTATATTGTGAAGGGACAGCTCTTGCATCAGCACATCCATGTCCAAGTTGGGAACAAAAGCAACAATAACTGTTGAAGTTGAAGCTTTGATAATATCAATAATCTTTTGTATTTTTTCCGTTGGGTCTGTTCTGAAGAACGAAACAGAATATTCCAGACAGATGCCGAGCTGCTGAGCTGTTTCTGTGAACGTCGCCATGCCGTTGTTGCCATAATCATCGTTGGTTCTAACAGCTCCAACCCAAGTCCAACCGAAATGTTTCACCAAATGGGCCAGAGCTCTGCTCTGATAGTAGTCACTGGGTACGGTTCTGAGAAATGACGGATACTTGGATTTATCACTAAGACAGGCACACGTAGCAAAGTGGCTGATCTACAAGAAAAACATAAATCTGTAAAAAATAAATCACAACAGGAAATAATGTGACACATAAATCCTTCACAAAATGGCCTTTTTGTTGGCGTCTGAATTAAATATGGACAACTCATTCATTTAAAGTAAATATTTGATGATTCACTAAATCTGCTCACCAATGGGATATGAAATGGCCCACTAACAGTTGCTGTTGCTGTACTGGGAGAGGAGGACGTTTCTCCCACTATAGCCTGCACTCGGACAGGTCTGGTGCATGACTCATCTGAGAACGAAGACATATTGTCGTTTTCATTGTTTAGAGCAAGTGTTACTTTTATGCTTTTGACAACAGAACCACAAGTGTCATAAATATGATATCCCAGAGAAACACCAGGAAGTAGCTCTGTGCTGTTGTTGATCTCCTCAATGGCAAAAAGCATAGCCTGGGCAAACTGGAACTCTCTGAAATTCAAACTGTAATCAATGATGAACAGTTATTAAAGCACAAAATGTCCTTTTGAAATAGAAACCACAATGTGCTTCATAAACGTATCCATTCTTTTCTATAACAGATATTTAAATGTCCTGGTCAAATTTACCTGATGCATTCCAGAGGCGGGGGTTTTTGTGTGTAAGGATTCTGTTGGTTCCTCCAGCTGCTGTGAAAATAGAAGATTCCCCCCAACATGATGTCTCCATCCTTAGACAGCTGAGGGATCTCAGGTTCTCCTCTCCGTCTGCACAATGACTCCTCAGACTGGGAGAAGGACACCAACAACAGCAGCTGTAACAGTACACAACCCTGCTCTGGCCACCTCTGTGGAGACATTGTTACGTGTAAAATCTCAAAGCCACTCATCTGCAGCTCATGAACAATCTTCTAAAATACAAACTTGAACTGATATTTATTATTTCTGGATGTGCTCATCGTTTGTCTCTGTGGAGCACCAGGAGGAGGGCTGTAGTGTCAGTGAAGTCTTGTTAAGTACTACTCTAATAAACTGGGTTGAGAATGTTTGCAATTTTTTTTACATTAATTTTGTGTTTTTAGACCAGAGTTTATAATTGAGAGGAAATCCACTTTTTTTTTAATTAAACACTTTCATTTTTTTTCTTTATCGTGGAAATACTGATTTTAATTGGATTTCTGACATATATGAGGAAGTTGGCACACATCTCTCCTGTGCTGGTCTCATTACATTGGCTCCTTGTAGGTTTTCGAGCTAAGTTTAAAGTTCAGTGTTATGTCTTCTTGTCTCTTTATGGTGGTGCTCCACCATATATGGCAGCATTAATAGAAAGGCGTACCCCATCACGAACTCTACGCTCCGCTGACCTGGTGCTACTGACCCACAGACTACATACAGGTCTAACCCCAAAATTCCACTATCTCCGCTCCGTTCCGGCACGAACTCCGCAGCAAAATCGGTCCCGTTGTAGTCAGTCAGAGCTGTTCCACTACTGCGGCTGTGCGGCGCAGTGCGCCGCCCGCCATTCCGCCATCCGGCAAAAATAGGATTGATTCTATTTTTGCCGGACGCCAGAGCACCTCCGCAGTCAATGGACCAAAATCACAACCGCCCAACAGGAAAAGGAGCAAGCACAACTTCCGTTATTTCACAATAAATCGATGAACAAAAAGCGTTTTTTGCTTCATATGCACAGCAACAACAACTTTTAACAACTATCAATGGCGGTTGAACTTTAAATGCACAAAAATAAGCCATAAATACAGTTTCCACTATCAAAGCAGTCACCCTTTGTTGATCCAAACACTGCTGATCTCTCAACACAAATGATGGGCAGATTAAACAGTTCATTTCGATGCTTCTCCCACACAACGGGTGTTTGGATCTAACTTCCGTGTTTATTGCTCGGACTGTATCGCAAGATCTCGAAAATCCTGTGCATGCCTGTTTGCGCACCTCAGGTTTCCGCACCAGAGCGGAGCTGTTGTAGAGCGGGTACCAGTAAAAATTGAATTCGGAAGCGAGCGGCTGCGGAAGGTGGGGGCGGGGCGGAGCGGAGCTGAGGTAGTGGAATTTTGGGGTAAAGGTGATCACGCTTTCTCGGTCTTGACTCCTTCTCTCTGGAATGAACTTCCACTTGATATTAAACTGTTATCACTGCAGGTCTTCAACTGTTGTTTAAAAAGTCATTTTTATTGTTTGGCTCTTATGTGACTTGGTTTTATGCTTTTATGTTCATTTTACATTTTGTATGTTGCTTTAATCTTCATTTTTTGCTCTCTATGTTTTTAGTGTATTTTATGTTCAGTGCCTTGAGCTCCCGCAAAGGCAGTGGAAGGAACTATATAAATAAAGAGCGATTGATTGAACACACACAACAGTTTGCATGTTTACAAAAATATATAAAACACTGAAAAGATTTTAAAGTAAATTGTAAATTATGTTCTATGTTATTTATCAACAGTTAAGACTGTAAATTCAAGTTATGTCGCTTAAAGCAAAAATAGTCTCTAGAACTAGAAAAAAGTCCTCTGAACTGACAAAATCTTATGGCTACTTAGATCCAAAACAAATTAATCACTAATTTCCATAATTTACAGTGACAGTGTGAAGTGCCTTGAGATGACTCTTATTGTGATTTGGCGCTATATAAATATAATTGAATTGAATTGAACTATGCAGTTTTATTTTAACCACTTTTACATACTCCTTCAAAAATGGGGTTCAGTGATTGTGTTGGTTGACACCTTACCAACTGCACATGGGACTGCACTTTGCAGACCTCTGCTGGCCAGAAACAGCACAGTTTTGTGGAGTGGGTAGGTGTACTAGTGGGGCCTTTTTACCTGCTTAATGGGCCTAGTAGCTAATAGCTAATTTAAAGGCTAGCAGTTAGCTTTTTCAGTTTGCCAACACACAATAAAAAACACAAGAAGAAAAAAGGAACATTGCTTATTGTTGATATCATGGTGGAGCCTGGAAGTCTTACAATAATGTCACTGGAGGTGAAGCAAAGAGCTAAAAGCAGGGCAAACATCGGCATGGCCTACACTCATTTGAGGAAGCTAAAGGAGGTTACGAAATCAAGGGCTGATGGTGGCCTGGCTTTGTTGCTACTGGACTTGTAATATTATTTTTTGTCCAACAGTGTGGATTTATTTTTTTACTCTGTGGCTTATTTAGTATCAGTTGGCTCATGTCTGTCTTAGCTTGTGGTTAGCACTAGCTATAGCGAGCTACTGCAGAGTTTTTATGAACATTGTAATTCTACTTTAAACCAGTAAGCCAGATGAGCTGGAAACTGTTTTGTGTTACTTTAAAACAACTCTTGCCCAAAAAACATATATGGATTGAAATAAATGCTAGAATACCAAGGGATTTTCCACCCCTAAGTGAAATTTAGTCTGTTGCCATATTCCCCAGAGTTAAATCAATTAAAAAATTATGATTCTCAAATCTTCGAAACAGTCAAGCCTCTTCCTATCTGAACGAGTTCTGTTTCCATCTTGTTTGGTTTTCATTTCTTTGTTCTTTTTATTTATTCATTATGACTTATGTGAACATTTATGCCTGTGTTGTTTTACTATTCAATTCAATTCAAGTTTATTTATATAGCACCAAATCATGACAAGAGTATTCTCAAGGCTCTTCACACAGTAAACATTCCAGTACAGGTCAGGGGTGTCATTTATAAAACATTGTGTAGAATCCTTACTAAAACCGTACTTAAGCTCAGCAAAAAATAAAATGTACTCATGCCAAGTAGGTTTGTGACCTATAAGACCTCGTCCACACGTAGCCGGTGATCTGCCAAAACGTAGATATTTTTCTACGTTTTGGCCTGTCATCCACACGAAAACGGAGTTTTTTCACACGAAAATGGATCTTTTTAAAAACTCCGGCCAAAGTGAAGATCTGCGTTTTCTCCGTTTTGGGTGTCTGCGTGTGGACAGACAAAAACGGAGTTTTAAGGTCCGCAACGTCACTTTCCGCGACAAAAAAATGCTGACATCACGTGTGCGACCTATGTTTACACTAGCCGACAGCATGGATGCCCTCAGAGCTGCGCTCGCTTTATCAATTGTCCAAGCGCTTTTTGCTTGTTTGTTTTTGCAAGCGGAATTACTGCTCCTTGCGGAAGACCACAGACGAAGGACAAGGTTAAGAACGGGGGAAGTACTGCCGCCTACAGGTCTGGCATGTCCTTAACAACGTATTTATCCGGGTACATGTGGACAGAGTTGTTTTTTAAAACGAGGTGGTGTGGATGCAAGTTTTTGGAGGGGCGGATATTCGTTTAAAAAAAAAACGGCTACGTGTGGACTAGGCCTAAAACATAAAGTAGGCACAGCTTCATGCAATCTCCGCTTTATAAATCAGAAACTTCCTAGGAATAACTCTGCTGTTTTTTTTTATCACATCCTGCCCTCAACACGCCCACTTTCTGCCATAAATGGTCAATGTAAAGTACCTTGTGGATCTCATGCATATACCTAAGCCGGCTCGTTGCAGCATTTCACCATTAACGATGGCGACCGCAGATCAAGGAAGCGCAGGGGGGGGGCTTGTTGACTAGTGTCAGTGACTTTACAGCAATCCTCTTACTAAGCAAGCATTTAGCGGCAGTGGAGAGGAAAACTCCCTCTTAACAGGAAGAAACTTCCAGAGGATCCTGGCTCAGTATAAGCAGCCATCCGCCACGACTCACTGGGGATCGAGAAGACAGAGCAGATAAATACACACACACACACACACACACACACACACACACACACAAACACACAGATTCAATAAGCGCACGCTGCGTGGCGTTGCACTGCGCCATCAGACTGAAGGCAGAAATGAGCGCTGCCTCCTCCGCGATAAAAAACTTTTAAGAGGTTTTATAACAACATGTTTCATTCAAGGTCAAATTAAGATATTAGCTTCTATTTTGGGATGACGTATTAAAGTCGGGTCCGCTCCAGCCAGTGACTCCTCATGAATCTGACCACAACTCATGTTACTGCAGCATTTGTTATTCCAGTCCGTGTGGCAGCGGATCGCAGATCCAGCCACACCATAAAACAGCAATAAGTCTGTCTGAGGCAAAAGTGAACCTCATGACTATAGCTTTTCCATCTTTTCCCCTATAGACATTTGATTACGCACAAGTAGGTTACCAGCTCAGGTTTACGCAGAGCAGAAGGAAGGAGAGAGCTCTGGCCACAGGTTAAAGTCAAAGTCAGTTTTATTGTCAATTCTACCACATGTGCAAGACATACAGAGAAATGAAATTGAGTTTCAGTACACACAATCCCATATTTGGTCAGGATATACTTGTCTTCAATAGAGGGTCCAAGGTCTGTCAAAACAGATATTCTTGTGTGTGCATGACTAAATGGCTGCACAGTGGCGCAGTGGTTAGAGCTGTTGCCTTGCAGTAAGAAGGTCCTGGGTTCCCTTCCTGGCCTGGGATCTTTCTGCATGGAGTTTGCATGTTCTCCCTTTGCATGCGTGGGTTCTCTCAAGTACTCCGGCTTCCTCCCACCGTCCAAAAACATGACTGTTAGGTTGATTGTTCTGTCTAAACTGTCCTTAGGTGTGTGTGTGTGTGGTTGTTTGTCCTGTGTGTCTCTGTGTTGCCCTGCGATGGACTGGCTCTCTGTCCAGGGTGTACCCCGCCTGATTGCCCGTTGACCACTGGTGACAGCCCCCCCGCGACCTCACATGGACAAGCGGGTTCAGAAGATGGATGGATGGATGGATGGAATGTACATGACTAAACTCTGACTAATCTATCTTAAGTCTCTGAAGTCAGAAATGGCTGCTGCAACAATATAATTTCTGGGAATTAGTCTTTTGTTTTTGTTTTTTTAGACAAAATTTATTTTAAACTCTTAGAGAAATAAACCAAGATGGCTCCTCATGGTAACTGTCCATTTCAGGTGTACTTTGGAAAACAACTTAAAGCTTTAAACTTAAAGGATGGCAAAAAGTGTTCCTTTTCCCAGTTAACATGTAAAGTGCAGCATAGTCTTGATCAAATAAGCAGACTGAAACTTACAGAGAGTGGTTCCCAAACACACATTTGCAATTTGTGAGTAAATTCATCAGGTTTTGTAACAAATGCTCTCTTCAAAATGATTTTGGCACTCTCTTTCCCATCATATTCTTTTTAGTGTTTCTTTCTGGTTTCTGCAACACGATGTAACATTTTGGGATGAAGATACAAATCAGTAATCCAAAACTAGAAGCTAGAATAGCAAAGATTTCTACAGCAACACTGAACTTTCCAGGAGAGCTGACATACGCTGGGATGAAAGTGATCCACACGGCACAGAATATCAACATGCTGAAGGTGATGAATTTAGCTTCGTTGAAGTTATCGGGCAGTTTTCGAGCCAGAAAAGCAAAAATGAAACACAAAATAGCCAAAAGTCCAATGTACCCGAGTACTGACCAGAACCCAACAGCTGAGCCCAGAGAACACTCCAAGATGATTTTATCTTTGAACTCCTTGAAGTTCTGAGATGGGAACGGAGGAGAAATGGCCAACCAGAGGACACATATGATCACTTGTATCAGAGTGAAGCCCAGAACACTGAGTCTCTGCTGTGTAGGCCCGAACAGTTTCATCACATTTCTCCCTGGAAGAGTGGCCCTAAAAGCCATCAGGACCACCATGGTTTTGCCCAGAACACAAGACAGACAGAGGACGAAGGTGATGCCAAAAGCTGTGTGACGAAGCACGCAGGACCACTCTGACGGCTGGCCGATGAAGGTCAGAGAGCAGAGGAAACACATGGACAGTGAGAAGAGCAGCAGGAAGCTCAGCTCAGAGTTGTTTGCTCTGACCAGAGGAGTTTTCCTGTGCCTGAAGAAAATAAAAGCTACTGCAGCCGTCAGAGACGTCCCAAATAAAGCTGCAGCAGTCAGGAGCATTCCCATAATGTCTTCGTATGACAGAAAAACGATTTCCTTTGTTACACAGGCATCTCTTCTGTCATTTGACCAGGATTCTGTGGGGCATCTCACACAGGTGATGGAATCTGTACATTTTAAAATCAAAGTGAGTGTTAGACCTAGTGGTTAAGATTAGATCAGGTGTGCTGAAGCAGAGAAACAACTAAAACATACTGGATAACTGGCTCCCCAGGACCAGAGACCTACTGCTCTATGGGGACAACCCTGCAGCTTCACATGAAAGGTCAGAGGTCATATTAATAGTTCAGCATGGTGTCAAGCTCTGTAGAAACATCTTAATCACCACTGACGATAAAAAGCTGAGAAACAGAATGGTGTGTGCAGAATGGTGGCCCTCAAGGACCAGGATTGGACATTTCATATAGAAATGAGCTGCGTGTGGAAAAATATTTGACATGCCTAAAATCCTTATAACCCCATCGCAACAAAGAACCAACTCTATTCTTTATTTTCATCAGATTATCAAATGATAAAGATGAGTTCATTTTGTTTTACAATGAAGTTCTAACACTTGCATTAAACTGTACAGAACCTGTAATGTTGCTCATTTCTCCTTCTGCACACTTTAGGCAGTCGTGGCAGCAAACAGGTCTTCCCTTCTGCAGAACCTTCTGTGTTCCTGGAGGACACTTCTCACTGCAAACAGAAACAGGAACCTGTTTCAACAAAAGCAGAACATTTAACTTTTAGTTTTTTTTTTTTTTTTTGTGAAATAAAAATAACTCCAATGTTATAAAATACTACAAAAAAAGATACTGCAGATTTTACCTGCGTTAGACTCTGTGACCAAATTAAGGACGTGTTGTATAAATCCAGCTGCTTGCCTGCAGGTAACGATGCATCATAAAGACCAACGGACACAAAATCCACCGTGCCAGTTTGTCTTGGCTGCCAGTTAATAATCTCATACTTTGCAGCTGGATCTCCATTTTCATTGAAATGAACAACTTCTCCTTCTTTAGTTTTAAAGCGAATTGTTTTAATATGCTGCAAAATCTTTAAAAAGAGTTAGATCATTTTAGCGACTGATGTCTAAAATTTATTTTGCATGTTCTTAATACATTTTAAAATATTGTTATTGTATTTAAATATTTTGCTTGATATCAGTGTTAACCTCACCGTTAATGGATCCAGCTTCACGCTGGTGTTGCATGTTTTATTACATGTGAGGATATCGTGCAGAGCGTGGGCCACTGCGTACACTCCTTTATAGACGTTGTTAAATATGGGCATCAGTGACATGTCAGTAAAGCCGTTTTCCACTCCAGTCAGATCCTCGTGTCCGGTACATTCTCTCTGTATCTTTTCTGACTGTGACTGTTTGAACTTGCAGCCGAATAACGCCTCCCAGAAGTCTGTGAATAAGCCATCATTTGATGAATTGAACAGTTTCACATCCATCATGAACTCTCTAAGGCCGCTGACTTGTGCTTTGGGGATAGAAAGGCCTAAAGCACCATCCAGCATGCGATTCTTATCCTTTGCTGCAATTTGAGAATCAAAGATCCACGACTCACTGCCGACCCACTGGTACCCTGTCAGGTTGTAAAGGGACATCTCATGTATCAGCACATCCATGTCCAAGTGTGAGACAAAAGCAACAATCACTTTTGAAGTTGAAGCTTTGACAACATCAATAATCTTTTGTATTTTTTCTGTTGGGTCCGTCCTGAAGAAAGCAACAGAATATTCCAGACAGATGCCGAGCTGCTGTGCGGCTTCCGAGAACGTTGCCATGCCGTTGTTGCCATAGTCGTCATTGGTTCTAACAGCTCCAACCCAAGTCCAACCAAAGTGTTTGACCAAGTGAGCCAGAGCTCTGCTCTGATAGTAGTCACTGGGTATGGTTCTGAGAAAGGACTGATACTTGGATTTGTCACTAAGACAGGCGCATGTAGCAAAGTGGCTGATCTACAAGAAAACGACAAATCTGTCAAAAACAAACAATGGACACATATGTAAAATGTATTTCCTTCACATACTGCTGCTGAGTTGTATATAATATCATATTTTAAATGTTTGACCAAATCTGCTCACCAGTGGGATATGAAAAGGTCCAATAACAGTAGCTATTGCTGTACTGGGAGAGGAAGACGTTTCCCCAACTATGGCTTGCAACTGCACCGGTCTAGAACATGACCCATCTGACAACAGTGGCACATTGTCATTACCATTGTTTAAAGCAAGTGCTACTTTCAGGCTTCTGACAACAGAACCACAAGTATCATAAACATGATATCCCAGAGAAACACCAGGAAGTAGCTCTGTGCTGTTGTTAATCTCCTCAATGGCAAAAAACATAGTCTGGGCAAACTGGAACTCTCTGAAATTCAAGCTTGAATCAGACAATGATAAACATCAGCGAGTCATTTGGAAACAGAAACGGCAATGTGCTGAAAACGTTTTTAACTTGGTTTTATAACATTCAAAAGCATATTAAAATACAGTTGTGTTATGTAGTTTACCTGATGCACTCCAGTGGCGGGGGTTTTTGTGTGTAATTGTTCGGCTTGTTCTTCCAGCTGCTGTGAAAATAGAAGATGCCCCCTAACATGATGTCTCCATCCTTAGACAGCTGAGGGATCTCAGGATCTCCTCTTCTTCTGCACAGTGACTCCTCAGACTGGGAGTAAGACACTACTAACAGCAGCTGTAAGAGGGTAAAACCCTGCTCTGGCCACCTCTGTGTAGACATTATGCCATCCGAATAGCTAAACCCATTCATCACATCTGATATGCAAATATAGAACTCAAACACTTGAACTGGTATTCATGAGTTTGGGACCAACATATAAATGATAAGCATATTAAATCTCTATGGAAATACAAGGTTGGATGAGGGGAGGGATATGAGGGCAGGGTACAATGAAACAAATTTCCCTCTCAGTCGACTGGGACGTTGTCAGTTATTCTCCTTTCAAATCGGTCAAATAAGAATGTAGTCATTTACAATCTGTAAGCTAGCTGGGTTGCCGAGTCTACTTTGAGATCAGCGGGTAAAAAGCTTCAGAGTTGTTGGAACCAAAGCCAGTAAACAGGAGCGACCCAGAAGTTATTGCTTGTGCTCCTAAGAAGCCACTATATCTTGTAGTTTGATTCTAATATTGGGTGAAGAAGGCTAGAGTCTAATGTTGAGCTAACAATGCTAAAGGTGATTTGGGAAAAAAAAAAAGGTTGGCTCTACAAAATTCAACTTTTTTCAATTACCAACAACTCAGTGTGTGTGAAGTGAAAAATGAGTCAATCGTGGTGTTTTACTTTCTTTAATGAATCGTTCAGAACTATAACAGTAAGCTAGCAGCAAGACGGCAAACAACAACACTTCCTCAAATACAAGAGAAATCTTACCATAATAAGCGTAGTAAGTGCTCCCTACCGTAAAACACCTAAGAGTGCCAACACCAGATGTGGCAATGTATTTATGTACTTATCAACTTACTGTGTATGACTCATCTTTGCTTGTCAGCTGTAATCTGCTGGTGCTCATCCGTAACTGGCAACATCCATGAAACTTACACAGCAGTGAGAGAGTCACTTTTTGTTTTCACTAATGGACTGCAGTAGCCACATTTGACCACAGGATGTCATTCTTATTTCATTTTTACATTCGCAGCTTTAATATTGTAATAACTAATATGTCTTTACAACTCTACGATGTTTGAATTTATTTAAAAAATTATTGCGACTAACATCATAGTCTTTCAAAGAATGATGTGCCTTAATTGAACAAATCGTATGCTCCATTATCTTTTAACAAGGTATTACATAGAGTAGAAGGAGTCACCGCTCATCTGGGAAACGTGCTGGATCAGAAAGTCGAATAAACAAAATAAGAATCCGCACACTTCAATCTGCAATGTAGGAGTTTATTGGTCAAGCTTTCGGTCAGAGACAATTCCTGATTAAGTTCTCTGACCGAAAGCTTGACCAATAAATTCCTACATCGCAGATTGAAGTGTGCGGATTCTTATTGTGTTTATTTAACAAGGTATTACATCAAATTGTTGCTGTTAACGGTAGGGTTGTAATTTTAGTTTTCGTAAATCTTGATCGTGTTGTCCCTCCGAATGAAACAGGAAATCAGTCCGATAGATCTGGCTGCTTGATTTAACTCATTATTTTTTACATCCAGCAGATATCGGTGTTTAGGTTTGAATTTGTGTCGAAAGTTTGATTTCTAACTCAAAAAATACACAATTATAATGCTTAAATGAAAATGTTATACTAAAGGTTAGTGCTTATGTGATTAATTACAATTATTCCCAATGTTGAAAAAAACACACATGAAACGGGCATTAAAACAACTCACAGGTTTTGTTCATAAGTCACTAGGCGAGAGGCAGGGCACACCCTGGACAGGTTTCATGTCTAGCACAGGGACACACATGCAAAGAGATAGACGCACATTCACACACACTTATAGTACTTTGGAATTGCCAGTTAGCCTCAGTTGCATGATATTGGATCATGTGAGAAAATTGGATTATGTGCAACAGACACACTTATGCATGGGGAGAAGATGCTAAGTCCACAACAGGTTTGCCCAGCCCTGGTCCTTAAGGGCTCCATCCCAGCATGTTTTAGCTGTTTCCCTGCTCCAACACATCTAGGGCCTCATGTATCAACTGTGCTTGCGCACACATTTACACATAGTGCGGTATTTTACAATTTGTACTTGTGTGTGAACACGTTCCTAAATATGAGAACAGCTGTAACCATGTGTAGCAACAGCATCTAGTGGTAGAACGGGGTGATAGCAGTACTGAAGGTCTCAGTTATCCACGCGTGTTCCTCATCCATTAACTTTTTATACACTCAGTATGTAATTATGTCGGTGGAAAAACGGCTTTAGCGCATTATTGGTGCTCAAACCAACGTGACTGTCGGGAACCTGACATTATATCATGACTAGTCTGTGTTATTTGAATATTTAACAGAGAGTGCACACTGGAGGGAATACGTTCTCTGTGAGGAATAAATCCTTCTGCCATAAGACACTTTAACCGCCTTCCCTGCTGGTGGTGGCCAGAGGGGTCAGTGGCAGCTGTGCTCATCAGGCCTCGCCTCTGTCAGTGCGCCCCAGGGCAGCTGTGGCTACACTGTAGCTCATCCCCACCAGCGTGTGAAATTGTATGCTAATGATTGATCGTGTTGTCAAGAGACTTGGGGGGTTCTAGAACCCTAAGCCGGGCGTACACTGTGCGACTTTTTCACTTTATTGAGCCGATTTTCCAGTTGTGCGAGAATCCACAAGATCGGGGCGAGTTTTGCGCCGAGCGGTCATGTAGTGTACAGGGGGTTACGAGAGGCGATTAACACCACGTGAAAAGCTACCGATCAGCAGTCGTTAGCTCGCACGGACTTCTGGCGTGTTTGATATTTTGCTCATCCCTCATGAGGGTATCGCTCTGTTGAAGCGGCGCTGCGAGCCGCTGCGACCCAAAATGTATCAGAACCGCTCACGGCGCATGCACAATCCTGCATCAACACCGCTCGCTATTTCCCTAATAACACACGCTGTTCGTTTTTGTTTCTACTCTTTTTTTTACTCACAAAGATTGTCAAGAAAGCGTGTTTGTCGTGTTCATGTCAAATTAAACTGATCACAAAACACAGATTTACTGTCTTTATTTCGTTTTCCTCATCCAACCCCATAAATCCCTGTGTGTCCTCCTGCAGCACTCCCGAAGGACAACAGGCAAAACAAGACAAAAAAGTCTGACGTGTTGTGTAAAAACTGCTATTTTTAGCATATTTTTAGGGCCGACGTGTTGCTACCAGACGTACAGTGTGAGCAGTCAGGTCGCATCCGAGAACTGGGTCGTACGGTGTGAGCACATGACTCGTGAGATCTGCCCCGCGAGGAAGTCGTACAGTTTGAGCTGAAGCTGAGTGCTACGAGTGAAAAAGTCGCACAGTGTACGCCCAGCTTAAGAAGGCCCTATACAAACACAGGCCATTCTTACCATTAACATCACACAGCCCACTTGCAGGTTTATCTATGATTTATCAATTTATTTAGACAAATTCAAAATTAGTTGAATCCGTCTTTACACTGTATCATTTATAACAAACAAATGTGTGGATTACCAATCTGTTGGGCTGTATTTAAAAAAATAATATGTCAATCAATATTGTTGCCCACAACCTTATTTTAACAGTTTATTTTGTGTTAAGTAATAAATATTAAAATCATAAAAGACAACAATTTTATGATTTTTAATATGGAGTTGGGAGAAAGAAGGATTTGACGCACTTTGATTGGTGTAAGAGTGTTTTAATAAACAAGGATGAGCCAACGTGTTTCAGTCGCGCCCAACCTTCAGGGCATGAATGACATGAAGTAATTTATGATATTATTACGTTCAAAATAAGAATCAGAATACTCTCTCTGACCCTCTGCTCATTATATTTTTTTTTGTGTTTTTCTCAGGTTTTACTAAGATGATGTAGCACTTGGGAAGAAATATGCAACACAGCAGTCCATAACTGGAAGCCAGAATAGCAAAAATCTCCACAGCCACACTGAATTTTCCAGGAGAGCTGACATAAGCTGGGATGAAGGAGATCCACACGGCACAGAATATCAACATGCTGAAAGTGATAAACTTCGCCTCGTTAAAGTTGTCCGGGAGCTTTCGTGCCAAAAACGCAAGTCCAAAACACAACAGAGCTAAAACCCCGATGTATCCCAGCGCAGCCCAGAACCCGGCAGCTGATCCCAGAGCACATTCTAGAATTATCTTTTCTGTGTAATATTTAGAATTTTTGTATGGAAATGGAGGGCTGACTGTTAGCCAAAGTGTGCAAATTAAAAGCTGCACAAGAGTGAAAGCTACAACACTGAGTCTCTGCTGTGTGGGTCCAAACCACTTCATCACATTACTGCCAGGTAATGTAGCCCTGAAGGCCATCAAAACCACTGTTGTCTTCCCCAGAACACAGGACATGCAGAGGACGAAGATGATGCCAAAAGCTGTGTGTCGCAGCTTGCAGGACCACTCAGAAGGTCGACCGATGAAGGTCAGGGAGCAAAGAAAACAGAGACTCAGGGAGAACAGCAGCAGGAAACTCAGTTCTGAGTTGTTTGCTCTGACTATCGGAGTTTGTCTGAAGAGGAAAAATATCAAGGCCACGGCCGCCGCCAAGCAAGCACCAAAGACAGAGAGGCTCACAAACAGCATTCCCATGAATTCTGTGAAGGTGAGGAACTCAATAGCTTTCATTTCACAATCAGTCCTCTCCTCATTGGATTTGAAATCAGGAGGACATGTGTCACATTTCACTGCATCTGAAAGCATAAATACATTTAAGCTGCACATGGTGGACATCTTCAGATAAACCAGTAAACTGCTGGCAGTGATTCTACCCAGCAGAAACACAATGAGCACAAGGCCAAAGACTAGGAATCCTGCTGTCTCACTTGTGCTGTTGCTGAACTCCCCATCAGCACAGGTAATGCAATCAAAGCAGCAGATAGGTTTTCCCTTAATGAAAGCCCGACGAGTCCCTGGTAAACAGCTCTCACTGCAAACAGATCT